TGCACCACCTGACATCCATCAGTAAGTAGCAGCCTGTAAAGAAAGGACCAAGGCATGGACAGCTCCAACCTATCCTCTGTTTGGATATCAACTAGCAAGCTAATGCCTTAATTCAAAAAAGAGCTTCCTAAGATCTACAGAGATACCTGCAGGAACACCTCAGCAAGTGCGAGTCCAAAAGTGGCAGGTTAAAACCCAGAACCTCAATCAGTGGCTGATACCGGATGAGAAACTCCTTCCTGGGCACACAAAAGGCTGGGTGACTTGGAAGGTACTGAACAGGTTGTGCTCTGGCACCTTGAGATGCAGAGCCAATCTTAGGTAGTGGAACTACAAAGTGGAGTCCATGACATGTGAGTGTGGAGAAGAGCAAACCACAGATCACTTACTACAATGCAGTCTGAGCCCTGCCACATGTACAATGGAGGACCTTCTCACAGTGACACCAGAGGCACTCCAAGTGCCCAGCTACTGGTCAAAGAAAATTTAGTATAATGCCAAGTTTTAAACTTTGTTTGTGGTTTTTCTATAAATTATAACTGTATTCTCAATTCGCTTCTGACACAATAAATAAATAACAGTCTTGGGAGAAAGGCAATACTCATTCTCTTGAAGAAGCATCGAATGAAATGTTTGCAGCTGCATTGGTTTTATTCTCACATAAAAATCCAAACATTGGAGGGATGGTTCTGAAATGGGCACAACCGAAAGGTAATTGAAAGACATAATAATAACAAAAAAGGCTATTGGAAAGCAAGTCACCACAGTTTTCTACAAGAGACTGGAAATAGTATGTGTGTGAAAAAACATTGAAAAGTTCCTTTCTTGGACGAGAATCTGCAGAATCCCTTGATGTCATGGCCAATTTATTTATTTATTTATTTATTTAAAAGTTTTGTATACCGACCTTCTCACCTCTCTTGAGGGACTCAGACCGGTTTCCAACCATAATATCACATACAATCAATAAAACATCATAATACATATTACGGTAAAACATTAAAACAGCAATTACAATCAATAACTATAATGGTCAGTTGTCACACTAAAATCGTTGCTCATCATCCTCCATCCATATCTCAGGGTGTTGGCTCACTCGTCGAATGCCTGTCTCCATAACCACATCTTCACCTGTTTCCTAAATGTCAGGATAGAAGGGGCGGTTCTGATCTCCAGTGGGAGAGAGTTCCAGAGTCGAGGGGCCACCACCGAGAAGGCCCTGTCTCTCGTCCCCACCAGACGCGCTTGCGAGGCCGGTGGGACCGAGAGCAGGGCCTCTCCAGACGATCTTAATAATTTTGATGGTTCATAGGGGAGAATACGTTGAGAGAGGTAAACAGGGCCGGAGTCGTTTAGGGCTTTATAGGTTAACACCAGCACTTTGAATTGTGCTCGGAAGCTAATTGGCAGCCAGTGGAGCTGGCACTTTTGGTTGGGGAATCTCGACTTCTAATCCAAACAAAGATTTTTGAAAAGCTCTGAGACCTGAAATAATTGAAAACCTTTGTTGAACTGTATTCACAAGTTCTGCCCTTTGTATTTATGTGCCTTTGAGTCACATGTCGACTTATGGTGACTACACAAATATTGTAGAGCTTTCTTAGGCAATGAATATTCAGAGGTTTGCTAGTTCCTTCCTCTAAAATAGAACCTACAGTGAATGCTATTCATTGGTGATTTCCCATCCAAGTACTAACCAAGGCTGACTCTAATTAACTTCGAAGAACAGATTAGATTTGGTGCTCTCATGGCATTTAAAATTTTCTGTTTGAGACCCATTTGGGGGAGAAATCAATTTAACAGTCAAATGTTTCATTAAAAATAAAGCAACAGACATCCAACCAGAAACTTTCTTGCTTTTGTCCCTCTACCAATTAATGCAAACTGTCTTCCTTTTCAATAAGAAAGGATGAGAATGTCTATGAAGCCGACTTTCTTAATTTTTTAACACATATGCATGGCCTCTGAATACACACGCATGAAGCTTGTGGTAGACTTCAGAGAAATAAAATATGGACAAAAATCTAACTGAACATTCTTTATTTAAGGCATGATATAAATGCAAAGCTATGTGATGAATAATGTATATGAACGCACACCCTTGGAGGAAAAAGTGTATATGTAAAATAGCCTAATGTTTATGCAGGAGCTAAAAACAAAGCTTTGAATGCGATATAGACAAAGGATAGGATGAAAATATAGGCGGATTAAGAAATTTTGACACATCTACTTCTCAGTGAATATAGACCTAACCTGACTGCAAGCAGCTTTGCAAAATGGATTTAATTAGCTCGAATCATGGCTGTTACAAATTCATACAGATCCAACTAGGATGATGCCTGAGGCTGTATCTACCATCAGAATTAATGCAGTTTCATATAAATGTAAGTGCCACGGCTCAATGCTACTGAATTATGGGAGTCATAGTTTTACAAAGTCTTTAGTCTTCGTATTGTCGAAGACTTTCATGGCTGGAATCACTGGGTTGTTGTAGGTTTTTTCGGGCTATATGGCCATGGTCTAGAGGCATTCTCTCCTGACGTTTCGCCTGCATCTATGGCAAACATCCTCAGAGGTAGCATCCTCACTACCTCTGAGGATGCTTGCCATAGAGGCAGACGAAACGTCAGGAGAGAATGCCTCTTTAGCCTTCTCTGACAAAGAGTGCTGGTGCCTCACCGTACTACAAATCCTAGGATTCTATGGCACTGATCCATGACAGTTAAAGTGATGTTGACCTGCTTTAATTCTGCAATGGAGATGCACCCTGATCTCTACATCCTTTCGAAAGGTAGGAAGTAAAATCTTACCCCTCTGCTTCCTGTTCTAGAACCATTGGGTCAGAAAGCTCTCACCTTCGTTGTGCCGTTCCCATTAACATGCTCACTTCTCCTCTTTGAAATGATGTCTCTGGCTGGTGACACAGGCTTTGTTTTGAAGCAAAATTGCTTCCAGTATCTTTTCGCTGTTGTTGATATTGCAGCTGAAACGGGCATTGTTTTCTTTTGTTCTTTTTTTATCCCTAGACTGTTGTCTGCAGGATGATCTTACGGTACAAAAGAGTTGCCAGACATCACCTTGGTAGATGCATGTGTTGCTCTGATAAGCATTTGTGGGCAAGATTGGTCAGGAATGTTTCCTGCAGAAGCCGTGCTGAAATGAATGGAAGTTGTGCAACTGCGCAGCTGGTGTGGCTCTTGCTCAAGGCCCTTTCTGTCAAAAGTCTCCCTAGAGAAGATACTGCAGAAAAACTGTGAGCACTGAAGTAACTCTTGCAGGTTTAAGAATTGTGTTCCTCCTCGATTTTCACTAAACAATAATACCCATGGTGCATTGGGGAAAAATTGTGATAGTTAGAAAGATAGTCTAAGCCTCTGTCATACCTAAGCTGAGATACATGTGGCCGCACAACATCAGAATGTGGTTAAGGTGTCAAAAGTTACTAGTGAGGAGGCAGAGATAAGCTAGGAGAGGTGCCGCAGTTTGCTTTTGCCTGAATCTTCAGGAAAGATCAGAATCCTTTCCCTTACTCTTCACTCCCCCTAAGTGCAAACTACTTTGAAGGCAGTTTGCATTACATGAAACAATGTACATATAAGTACAGAAACTGTTGCAAAAAAAAAATCAATACCAAAAATCCAGATCAACATATCCACAGGTCAGTATAAGTACTGTACGCCAGCCCTGCTATACGCATGTGAAACGTGGACTGTCTACAGATGTAATACGCAACTCCTGGAATGATTCCATCAGCATACTGGAAGAGGCAACGACCACAAGCCAAAGTTGGTGATCCTATGCCATTAACTCTGCCGGACTGGCCATGTTGTCCAAATGTTCAATCACCATCTCTCAAAGTAGTTACTCTACTCCAAATCCAAGAATGGGAAATGAAATGTTGGTGGACAGGAAAAGAGATTTAAAGATGGGCTTAATGCCAAACTTAAAAACTGTGGTATAGACATTGAGAACTGGGAAGCCCTGGCCCTTGAGTACTCTAACTGGAGGTCAGCTGTGACCAGCAGTGGTGGAGAATTCAAAGAGGCACAATTGGAGGGCAAAAGGGAGGAACGTGCCAAGAGGGAGGTGCGACAAGCCAACCCTGACTGGGACTACCTTCCATCTGGAAACCAATGTTATCACTGTGGGAGAACATGCAGATCAAGAATAGGGCTCCACAGCCACCTATGGCTCCACCGCCAAGACACCACATCTAGGACCATCATCCTCGAGCTACGAGGGATCGCTTAAGAGAGAATAAGTACTGTATCTCACCAAAAGTTCAGTGCTAAAAGGTGAGACCTTAGTGCATCTTGGAAGAACTTAAAAGAAACTTTTGAATGCCTGGGCAAGGCAATGGCAGTGACAATTGGCCCCCATTTTCCTAATTTCTAACATACCTCACAACCTCTGAGAATGCCTGCCATAGATGCAGGCAAAACATCAGGAGGGAATGCGTCTGGAACATGGCCATACAGCCTGGAAAAACTCACAACTACCCAGCAATTCTGGCCATGAAAACCTTTGACAATACAAACACAAAAATGGTTGAGCAGAAGCAGTGGAAGGTTTTTACCTTTTCTTCCTAAATTAATGTATCGAAATCAAAAATGTAGAGGTATAAGCAAAAGAACAGAACTCTATGTATAAGCATTTATCTGCAAGATCCAGTTCTGCTACTGAAAACAAATCTTTGGCCAAGTATATGCTCCAGTTTGACTTTTCCTTTGCCCCATGTCCACTTTCCCAAGCTTACGTTTTGAATTAGCCTCCAGGTGATGTATCTCACAGTTATAGCGGAAAACCAATTAAATCCTGCAAAGTAAATCCTATCAAGCGCAATTTTGCTATAGCAGTTTGAGTAGCTGACTATGATTCTAAAGTATCATGGTACCTTAAAGAGTTGAAGGCACACAGCTACAACATACAACAGCAGCAGCAACAACAAAACCCTATCACTGGCCTGTTTCTGCTTTAAGAGAGTGAAAAGCCATACTTACAAGATTAAGGTGAACGATCATGCTTCTGTTCTTCTGCCTCCATTACTGACAAATCAAATTAGTTCCTAGAAGAAAAAGAAGAAGAAACATTATTTTAGTATAAAGCTAGATTTAGAAATATTTCTAAAATTCATTATATAAGTAGTTAGAGGGTTTGAAGTTCCACTGGCTCAATGATTGTTCACTGTACAATAATTTTGACTCCATAGGAAAAGGAAGCATCCTAATAATAATAATAATAAAATTATTATTAACAAAATTATTATTAATAATTAATTAATATGAATACGAGGATTTAAAGATCAACCTGCAAAGACTCTGGCACAAACCAGTAAAGGTGGTCCCAGTGGTGATCGGCACACTGGGTGCAGTGCCTAAAGACCTTGGCCTGCACTTAAACACAATTGGTGCTGACAAAATCACCATATGTCAGCTGCAAAAGGCCACCCTACTGTGATCTGCATGCATTATTTGCTGGTACATCACACAGTCCTAGACACTTGGGAAGTGTCTGACATGTGATGCAATACAACAGCCAGTATAGTGATCTTGTTTGCTGTGTACTAATCTTGTTGTGTTTCAAATAACATCAACAACTGCTACTACTACTTTATTCTTATACCCCGTCACTATCTCCCCGAAGGGACTCGGAGCGGCTTACATATGGGACAAAATGTCCACAAAACAAAATATAAAAGCAAAAACAATCCATTAAAACAAAAACACCAGCATCATAAACTACTGCAATCCAGATAAAAACACACTAAACAGATTGCAGTAAGGTTCCAGACAAAGTTCAATAAAAACCAATAATCAGGATTACTAAAATGGCCGTGACCAAGCTATATAAGGGCTGGGCAAGGGATAGTGCAACCAGCGTGCCACAGGGCCAGGGAAGTGGATGAAATGCAGAACAGAGTACTATATGGTGACCTAGGGACTGGGCATTTATAGCTAGGGATTATCATCTTATATTCATTTACTGAGGGACAGAAATGTGAAAGACATCGCTGTGATGTTCAATGCACATCTGCATGGGCGATGCACAATGGCACCCATATATTCAACTCTGCCATCACAACTTTCAGAGTAATCTCATGGTCAAAATTGTACAACCATATGGGTAAGGAATCATGGGAGTTGTAGTATGGGAAGACACCAGCACTCTTGAACAGAGAAGGCTTAACAGTTTGTAAAACCACATGGCAATTAAAGCAGGTTTTTTAAAATCATGTCAGAAGTGAATTGAGAATATACTGCAAGTCACTTCTGGTGTTAAGGTGGTGTAAATTAAAATGATGTAAAGCTGCACTAATTCTACGGTGTAAATGTGCCCTAAGAGGATGACAGTCCCTAGATCTGTTAGGACACTTCTGATGCAGTGTGTTCTCCTGTTCCCTAGAGGGCATGTGAACACAATACACTGTGAGCAAAAAAAAGTTATTGGAAAAACTTTTGCAGTTGCTTCTTTCTCTCCAGAGCAGTGTTTCTCAACCTTCCTAATCTTCCTAATACAGTTCCTCATGTTGTGATGACCCCCACCATAACTTTATTTTTGTTACTACTTCATAACTGTAATTTTGCTACTGTTATGAATCATAATGTAAATATCTGATATGCAGGATGGATTTTCATTCACTGGATCAAAATTGGTAAAAATACCCGACACCCCCAAATTTTAATAGTGGTGGGTTGAGGTGGGGGGTTGATTTTGTCATTTGGGAGTTGCAGTTGCTGGGATCTATAGTTAACCTACACTCAAATAGTATTCTGAACTCCACTAACAATAGAATTGAGCCAAACCTGGCATACAAAACTCCCATGACCAACATAATATATTAGAAGGGTTTGGTGGGCCTTGAATTTTGAAGTTGTAGTCCACCTATATCCAGAGAGCACTGTGGACTCAAACAATGATGAAATTGAACCAAACTTGGCACAAATACGCAATATGCCCAAATGTGAACACTGGTTGAGTTTAGGGAAAACAGATTTTACATTTAGGTGTTGTAGTTGCTGGGATTTATAGTTCACCTATAATCAAAGAGCATTCTGAACCCCACCAACGATAGAATTGGGCCAAACTTCCCACATAGCACCCCCATGGCCAACAGAAAATATTGTGTTTTCTTATGGTCTTTGGCAACCCCTCTAACACCCCCTTGCAACTCCCCCAGGAATCCCGACACCCCCCCCCCTCTCCAGGTTGAGAAACACTGCTCTAGAGTTTCTTTCACATAAAAAAGCAGCAAAGTTCAGAGGTGATACAGGTACATTGCCCTTAAAGCACCAGCCTCACCAAATAATAATAATTTGACATTTGGGAGTTGTAGTTGCTGGGATTTATAGTTCACCTATAATCAAAGAGCATTCTGAACCCCACCAATGATAGACTGGGCCAGACTTCCCACACAGAACCCCCATGACCAACAGAAAATACTGTGCTTTCTGATGGTCTCTGGTGACCCCTCTGACACCCCCTTGTGACCCCAACCAAGGGTCCCGACCCTCAGGTTGAGAAACTCTAGAGTGGCTTTCACATTAAAAAAGCAGCAAAGTTCAGATGTGATGAAGGTACATTGACCTTAAAGCACCAGCCCCCTCAAAATTAAGTAGAATGTGGTACCCATAGTTTAGTTCCCCTATTCCTTGTTCCAGCTTTGAGCTTGGGAGCGTCGGAAACACCTGCATGAAACACCTTTCTCCACCCCACAAAAATAAATGTCTTATTTTGCTTCTCTTTCCCCACCTTCTTTATACTCCCATTTCCTTACTCCACTTTTTTCTATTGTTTATTAATTTCTCTGGGGATCCCGACAGAATTCTTCGGGTTAAGAAGTTCAAAGCCCAGTTTTCTCAGCCAGATGACGAGTCCCTAGTATGAAGCCTGGCACAGAACATAACAAGGCCATCTAGAAGTAACTCCATAGAACTGACAAAAATGGCATAGCACTTGAAAATTTCCTATTAAAATGCTTTTAGAAATGCTATTTCAAAACACCTTCTGAAAATAAGTAGAAATCATTGCTTATTACATACTCAAATTCCTTTACCCTTGCTCATTTCATCGCCTTAGAAATGTAACTTCATTTCAAACATGTTTACTCCAAAAAGTTAACCAGTACCTGCAGTGCTTGTGACTTGATACTGCCAAGGTCACTGATAAAACAACTATGTGTAACTTGAAATCCCAGAAGCAATGCCTTTCTAACAAGAGTGAAAATATCACTCCCCTGCCAGGTTCTTTGCTCCTTTGTCCTTCCCCACTTCAAGCAACCATTTTTTCTTTGCTTCCCATTAATGAATAACCACAACAATAATATTCAGTGTCTTGAGAAAGGGGGAAAGGTCACATTGGAGAACAACCTTCAGCTATGCTTTTCGAAGACACTTCAAATAATTTTAGAAATGAGATTGTCTAGAACATTGGATAGATCAGGGGTGGAAAATGTGAGTAAAAGAGTCCCTACAGGTGTTGGTGCACTTGGTGTAAAACAGTGTTTCTCATGCTATCTGATATGGGACACCAGCAGGGAATTATTTCCATGTGTGCCCGGGACAGCACCATGTTTGTGGCCATGGGATGGAGATGTTCCTTCAAATCCTGCAAAATCACCAGGGACTAGCTTGGCAACCAGCATTTCTCCAGGGACCAGCAATTTGAATAGCTGTAGCATACAGAATTCAGATCCAGACTTTTGCTCAGATTGTAACAACAACAACAACAACAACAACAACAACAAATACAATTAAGGCCAGGATCAAAAAATCAGCTGATGACCCAAAATGCAGACTGTGCAAGGAAGCTGATGAAACCATGGACCATATCCTCAGCTGTTGCAAGAAAACCGCACAGACGGACTACAATCAAAGACACAATTCTGTGGCCCAAATGATTCACTGGAACTTATGTCACAAGTACCACCTGCCAGCAGTAAAGAATTGGTGGGATCATAAACTCACAAAGGTCATGGAAAATGAATATGCAAAAATACTGTGGGACTTTCGAATCCAGATTGACAAAGTTTTGGAACACAATACCCCAGACATCAAAATTGTGGAAAAGAAAAAAAGTCTGGATTATTGATGTCACCATACTGGGTGACATCCGCATTGAGAAAAAGCAACAGGAAAAGCTCAGCCGTTATCAGGACCTCAAAATCAAACTGCATAAACCAGTACAGGTGGTCTCCGTGGTAATTGGCACACTGGGTGCCGCGCCAAAAGATCTCAGCCAGCATTTGGAAACAATAAACATTGAAAAAATCACGACCTGTCAACTGCAAAAGGCCACTTTACTTGGATCTGCGCGCATTTTTCGGAAAAATATCACACAGTCCTAGATGCTTGGGAAGTGTTCAACTTGTGATTTTTTTGATACAAAATCCAGCATATAGATCTCGTTTTCTGTGACATACTGTGGTTTTGTGTCAGAATAATAATAATAATAATAATAATAATAATAATAATGGATCATTGATGTTGCAATCCTAGGCGACAGCAGAATTGATGAGAAGCAACTGGAAATGGTTACACAATATGAAGATTTAAAGACTGAACTGCAAATCACCACCTTAACTGATCACCAAGACTGATCACCACCTTAACAAGCTAGTTAAGGTGGTGATCGGCACACTGGGTGCAGTGCCTAAAGACCTTCACCTACACTTAAAAACATTCAGCACTGACAAAATAATCCCCTTTCAGCTGCAAAAGGCCAACCTACTCGGATCTGCGTGAATTATTTGACGATACATCACTCAGTCTTAGAGACTTAGGAAGTGTCCGACATGTGATTGAATACAAAAGCCAGCATAGTGATCTTGTTTGCTGTGCACCAATCTTGTTGTGTCTCTAGTAGTAGTAGTAGTAACAACAACAACAACAACAACAACAACAACAACAACGACAACAACAGCTTTATTTATAACTTGCCCTATCTCCCTGAGGGGACTCAGGGCAGTTTCCAACAAAGGATGGCAAACATTCAATGCCATAAAACAATACAAAAGGAATAAATAACCCCATGAATAAAACATATATAACAAATTATAACAACTACCGT